CTTGTTTTAAGAAGGACCATAAGTTAAAAATGAGGCTTATTGTAGAAAAATTCAATTAAAAAAAATAAGAATTTAGTTAAATACACAATGGTTCAAGTTAATTACACAATACTACTTATACAGTATTATACAATACTGTTCTGGCTTACATACAAATTCGATTTAAGGACAGACCTTGGGAACGGAACTCATTCTTAAAGTGGTAATTTTCGTATCTAAAAGTCGAGACAATAATGCATTTTTCAGCTGTTCAGAGCAAGTCACACTTCTTAAAATTGTAGCATTCTGTCCTATATTATGCATGCAAATGTTGCTGTTTAATGTGTGTTAAATATACACTGGTAACCTGGTAGTCAAGCTTGCTGGGGCCAATGAACTTCATTAATTATATTTATAAAAATAGATGTTGATAGTTCACAAAGAAATTTGCATGCAGAGCAAAACCTATATTCAAAGTCCAAGTTAGGAACTTCCAAGGTGCTCCATCATTAAGGAACATAATTCTAAATTAATTGTACTGTTTTTAATGTAATTGTCTACAAACTACAGAAGTCCATGAATAGAATATTATATCTTATATATAAATGACTTTGCCTCTTCTTTCAACAGTTTTAAACTGCTAGCCTTGGAGGGAACAGTAAAATACACCTGAGAAATCACACTTAAATCTGATACTTAGGTAGTAAGATCATTATTTCCATATCTTTTTTATTAACTTGATTTCTTGTATATAACGAAAGAATGATGGATACGTTAAAAAATGAGACAAAAGCAAAATGGCAAAAATCAACTTCTTGATTGAAATACAGTACTATTTGTTTTTCTTTTTAAAACTGGAATATACATGGGGAGCTTCAGCCTCTGAGTCCAATATGCTTGACACTGGCTTTCTATTTGAGTTGCGAACTCATTGGGAAACGAACCAGATAAATTTGGAGAGGATAGGATTAGCTGTTAGCCTTAAGAGTTGAGGTTACTTCTGAATTGGGGCACCAATAATAATTGCACAGAGCAATGGTGGTCTACAGGAAGGTCTCCATCTCTTGCTTATAAGCATCACAGAGTCACTTGTTTGAATAACATCATGCTGAACTAAGATGAGCCTTAGCCTGATCCAATAGGGATATTTTTTTCTCATTTACCCTCTCAAGCTCTGTCCATTCTCCTTTCAACCTTCCTTTCCAGGTTCCTGACTATCCCTGAGATACAATAATATTTGCTCTTACTATGGAAATATCAGCCCTCCTATCTAGAATGGAACAGTCCAGGACTAATTGATTAATACTTCCTTCTACCTAACAAATTAATTATTAGTTATATAATTTTGCAAACATAAAGTATTTCTCTTGCAATTATTCAACCGTATGTGCCCTTTCCATTTGGAAATGTAATCCTTAAGATGTAGGGAACCTGCAGTCCTCCTGTGTTGTTAAACTTTCAGAACCCTAGCTAGCACAACCAGTGTTGACAGTTGTTGAAAGGTAAAGCATAGCAACATCTGGAGGATCTTCCCAGTCTAGCTGAGTTGGAGTCTTAGAGATTTGTGGCAATAAGGTGAAGCTACAGCTATGAAAAATACTAAGCCAGAATGAACTGCTGTACCAAACTATTTCTGTTTTCCTACTGTAAAGGTCGGTCAAAGACCGAAACAAAGATATTTGTTGTGGAGACAAGGAGAAGGAGAAGGAGAAGGACTGGGTCTGACTATTCCTTAATAATGAAGATTTTTTAAAAATGTAAAGGTCTCTACTGTTTGCATCTAAGAACATTAAACGTGCACCAATCTAAACATATTAAACTACAGCTCTTATCTAAGAAATATTAATATTTTAAGGCTATAGCATATATGTTAGCCACCTTCATTCACCATTTGAAACATGCTATGCAATCAATAATTGTGAAATCACATATTGTAATATATGCAGATCAGAGTACATGAAGAGTGAAAAGAAAAAGAATATCCTACACACATCCATATAAAGAGTGACAGAGAATTAACTCTAAAATATTAAAGATAAAGTTTGTTAATTCCTTTCTAAAATAACTACCAACTTTACAATCCTGACAGAGATAAAAAGGGAAGTTTAAACTTACCACACACAAAACCTTCTAGGCTGACAGCAAAAACATTTCTTCCTTTCAATACCTGAGGATGGGCACACGTGGCATTTACAAAGGTCTGGAATTTATTGTCTACCAGCCATTCAGGTAGCCACTTCAGCTGGCAATCACACAAAAGGCTTGATGTGTTTATATATCTGGAAAATAAACAGGAACACATTTGCACCACAAGAAAACCATGGACCTCTACATTTGAAAGGAGCAATATTAAAGACAACCCTGAGGATAAATAAACAAACTAGTGCCCAATAGCCTGCTCCATTGTAATATGTCAATGGCAGTAACAATATGTTGGAAGCTAACTCTCATATGATGGTCTCTTTGCCCAGGTTCCAGATAACAGGCTTTGCATTCTTAAATAGCATATGCCTACTAGGGTTGTGCACAGTCTCAGATTCAAAGAGAAAAAGGTGCTTGAGGACCTGCATGTGTGTACATGTAGTAACTTGTAGGAACTCCTCAAACTAAACATGTCTCTTTCCAGACATGTGACTCTTGGAAAGCATTTAACTGCTTTAAGGAGTTCTGCATGCTTCAAAGAACGTTTCTGCCTTGAAAACTGGAGCCTTAATGCCTATTTCCATTCTTCATAACTGACTGATTTGGTATCTGTATTTCATCTGGGAATATCTAAAGTTGGTTTTAATTCAAACTCTTTCTGTAAAGAAAACGTCTGCACTATATCAACACGCACCCATTACATGTTAGTCTTAACAGGAATTTAAATAGGGGACCTTACAGAAAGTATGCCAACAATGTAACTCCTTACTCTATTCAGTAGGTAAAATAACCTAGAACTATCCTAAAGCAAAATGTCTTCTTCAATATGGGATCTTTCCCTAATTAGCTTTACTTGTTCAGCATGTAGTCTTAAAAATATTGTTGCTTGAATTCCATTAACTACATGTTCTTCTCAGGTTCTCCCTTGCAGGCGAGACTGGAAACAATTAACAAGTACACAAAAATCCAGGAGCATCTGATAAAAGAATTTTACTGCAGAAAAGCTTAGAAGTCATTAAAAAGGAATTCCAGCAAGTACTTTATATCCAAAGCAAGTTCTGTGTGTGTGTGTATGTGTCTGTATCTCAAGTGTTCACTTTCTGTGTCTTTTTCTCCTATCCATAGGGGAAAGTGGCCTTCTTTAATAGGTAAGAGGTCCATTTTGCATCTAATTTTGTTTCAGTCATGGCGAGATCTGATATCAGATTATTTTCCTCTGACAGTGTGGAAAATGTGAGAACTAAGTCTCACAGTTCTTTTCACAAGCTAACAACCTCCTCCCCCTTATCTCACTGTGTGTCAGGCCTAGCCGAAGGAACTCCAAGAGACCAC